CAGCAGTCGCGTTGACTCGCGGTGTTAAAGTCCCAGGATTGGTGTTCTGGCACGATTCAGGATCGTCAAGACGCAACAGTAACGGCAGTTCGCTGCTCTGACGTTTCAGGAATGGCATTATGGTGCAGTTCCGGATTGTCAAATGCTTGTCTTCCAACGGGGCGCTTCCCTCTGTAATAATGAATCCGTGCAGGGGCCTGGGAACAGGGAGCTTGTAATGAAGGTGCATTTTTTTGCCGTTCGTGAGGCTTGTGTTTCCGCTGGTCCTCATCCCCCTCCTTTTCCTCCTCATTTTCCGCCGCCCGCGGCCATGGCGGACCCCGCGGCTTTACGGGGGGGGCCCGTTGTTTGGTCGTCTTTGTCGGCGGCCCCAGCACCAGGCCCGCCACCTGTTGAAGCCTCTGGGCCTCCGCCTCCTCCGCCTCCTCTTCCTCCCCCTCCTCGTCCTCCTCCTCCTCCTCCTCCTCCTCATCCTCATCCTCCTCCTCCTCCTCCACATGGACGCTCGCTCCTCCTCCTCCTCCTCCTCCTCCTCCTCCTCCTCCTCCTCTTCCTCCTCCTCCATTCATTTTTCTTATGAATGATTTCTCCCTGCCGCCTCCAGAGGCTAGTCGGGGGGGCGGGCTGGGGGCTGGGCGTTCCGCTTGAGACTTCCTTACCATTGCTGAGCCTGACACTTAAGCTGGCAACAGCTTCGCAGATGGAGGGCGGACCGTTTTTCCAATTGTGATTTTCAATTTAGCGCCGGGTGCATTTGTTTGCAACATGTGCAATAACTCCAGGGATTGAGAAATGGTCTTTCTCAAAATTGGGCTCTCGCCTTGGCATTGCGCGCATTCGTTTGAAGCATGTGCAGGAGCTTCACGGATTGAGGGCAGGTCGTGTTCAAACTGTGGTTCTCGCGTTAGCGCCGCGCACATTCGTTACAAACAAAAGCTTTACGGATTGAAGGCAGCTCGCTTTCAAAATGCGTGTTTGCCGTAGCGTTGCATACTTTTGTGGATCAAATTTCAAGAGCTTCACGGTTTGAGGACGGCTCCTTTTCAAAGTGGATCTCGCCTGAGCATCGCGCACATTCGTTTCATATATTTCCAAAATTCTGATCATTTTCATGGTCAGCGTATCAAAACTGGCGTTCTGGATCGATTCAGGAATGTCAGGGCGCAACAGTTATTCCGATGTGTGGTGTTGAGGTCCCAGGAATGGCTTTTGACCCGATTCAGTAATACCAAGACGCAACACCTGTGGCGTTGAAGTCTTTAGATTGGTGTATTGGCGCGCTCTGAGATTTTCCACTGTTGTGTCCCAGCGGGGCACTTCCCTCAGTGGACACGAATCTCTTTAGGGGCCTACGAGGAGAGATTTTGGAGGGAGGGTGTATCCCAACATCGTTGAGGAGTCTTGGGTTTACATTGGTCGCCTCCTCCTAATCCTCCTCCTCCTCCTATCCCTCTGTCTTCTCCTCCTCGTCCTCCTCTGCCGCATCCATGTGCCTCTGCGGGGACCGACAGGGGCGGGGGATATAGTCCAGTTTGAGGTTCTGAGAAGGGAGGAGGAGGAACGGAAAGGAAAGAGACCATGCAGGGTGGAGTACCCGTAACCAGGTCTCCCATGCACTCGTTAGTCAGTTTCATGACACCAGTGGCCGAGTAGCCGCCACAGGGAATACAAAGTATCCTGGCGAAGGACCCAACCATGTGCAGTTGTGGGTACCGGATATGGTTGAGCTCCCCTTGGGGCCACGATTTTCGTGAGGGGTGTGCCGAAATGGGCGGGGCCGCCACGCAAACTTTGCCATTGGGGCCTTCGGTGGGAATCACTATGGGACCACACTTGTGAAGGGTGTGCCGAAATGGGCGCGTTACCGCCATGCGAACTTTGCCACTGGGGCCTTCGGAGGAGGTCCCTGCGGGGCCACGATCCTCGTGAGGGTGTGCCGAAACGACATGAAGGTGTGGTGCCGCTATGCGAACTTGCCACTGAGGCCTTCGGTGGAGCTCCCTGTGGGGCCACGAAGCGTGTGAGAGGTGTAAATGAACGCGGTGCCGCCGTGCGAACGCAGCGATTTGGGCCTTCGGTGGAGCTCCCTGTGGGGTCCCGAAGCGTGTGAGGGGTGTGCCAACATGCTTGACATGCGGAGGGCGCAGGCAGGGATGGGAGGAACGAGGAACGGGGGCAGCGGCAGGGAAGGAAGGAGACGCGGGGCGCTGTCTCTTCAAAACGAGGACCCAACACCACAGGAACAAGCCATTGGCCGACAGTGAAACAGAGGCAAGCCGCCCCGGAACGAAGCCGAAATGAACCGGCGCCGAACCGGGCTGGAGCCAAAACGGGCCAAAGCCGAAACGGGCCGAAGCCGAAACGGGCCGGGAAGATGCGGGGACGACAAGGACCAGAACCGAAACGGGCCAAAGTCGGAGCGGAAACGCGCTGGAGCCGAAACGGGCCGTGACGAAACGGGCCGGAGCCGACACGGGCCGGGACGAAGCGGATATCGGAGCCGAAGCGGGGGACGGGACGGGGCGACACGGACCGGAACCGAAACGGGCTGGAGCCGACACGGGCCGGGACGAAGCGGATATCGGAGCCGAAGCGGGGGACGGGACGGGGCGACACGGACCAGAACCGAAACGGGATGAAGCCGACACGGGCTGTAGCCGAAATGGACCGAAGCCCAAAGCGGTCTCTTGCCCGGGAAGCCTCGGGGACGGAGGGCCTCGCGGTTCCCAGATCCTCCAGCGGATCCCCATGGGAATGGCTGCGAGAAGCCCTCTGGGAGCCCCTGTGGGCCCCTAGATGTCTTTGGAGGTCCCCGGCACGTTTGGGGAGGGGCGGGCGGCATCAAGCCCATCTAGCCTCCGTGGCTTCTATCCGGTCCCTGAGGGTTTCGCGTAGAGTCCTGCCCCTTGCGGGCTACCTTGACAGGACTCCCATCCCACTAGATGTTCGGCATCAAGGTGGACGAGCTTGCCCGGAGCCTCCCAGGGGCATCTGGCGCATGCGATGGCATGTGGCTTTCATTTTGCGCAGCCCGCTCGCGGGGAGCAGGTTCACTCGCGGAGCGCGTTCCACTACTCGCAACGTGCCTACTCGCAAACGTCCGAAATATAAAGGTCTTGCTCTATGTAATACATCGTAAACCCCCCGCGGCAGATCCAGGCCATTTGCGAGTAGTTGATTTGCGAGTAGTGGAACGCGCTCGTCTGCTCACCCTATCCCGCCTGGCAGCTTCGCTCCATGGAGAATGCCAGAGTGTCTCTTCCGCGCAGCATCTTGCACGCCCTCGAGCCCGCCCCGCGAGCGGGTGGCCCTCGTCGCCACGGTTGGTCGCTGCTGGACTGATTCGTCGGGGGGGTCTCCGCGATCGAGAATTCCGTGGCAATTCGCGCATCCCCAACCAGGCCATGCAGAAGATATCTTCGGGGGAGGTGCCTTGAGAGGGGCAGAGGCGGAGCGCCAGCGAACTAAGAACGCTGGCTCCAGTCAGAATCCAACCCTGGGGTCAGTTCAGGCAGCCCTCTGCAATGGCAAGTTTGAGGGCCTCTGATGGGCCTCTTGGAGCCATCCTGGGACTCTTTGGGGGCCCTTCCGGGAGCTGTCTCTCTTTGGGGGCCTTTTGGGGAGCCGTTCAGGCCTTCGAATGGCCATGCTCAGGACCGTGGGCCAAAGAAAGGCCCCTACACGTAAGTCGGGCCTGTCCCTCTACAGAAGGAAAATTCAAAGATAGTCCAAAAATAGTCTGGAGACGATTTGTTGATCATTGTTTGACCATTTTGGGGTATTGTTGGGGGGTATTTTTCAGTTTTCGTCCAAAATCCCCTTGTAAGGGGGCATGCCCGACTTAAGTCTCCACTCCCCTCCCCTGAGCCACGAGAAATCGCCCCCGGGGCCCTCTTGGGACTCATCCTGGTGTGAACCTGGAGGCGTGGGGCCCGTTCGTAGCTGCTGTCTCGGCGCCAGGGCCATCTTGAGGCCTCAGGTCTCAGAGCCCACCCCCCCAGAATGAAGTCGGGCCTGTCCCCCTGCAGGAGGAACATTCAAAATAGTTTGGGGACGATGTTTGGATTACATCTGGCTACTTAAAAAAATCGCCCTAAAGCCGCCTGTAGGGGGGCAGGCCCGACTTAACCCCAGAAGCCGACAAGGCGAACAGACCATATTCGTGTGACGATGAGTTGTTCCGTGCCTCCCGCGTGCTCTGGCACGTCGGGGGCCTCCCTTCGAGGCTCGGGGACCACCTCCCGCGTCGTCCTGGGAGCCACCTTGGGCCACCCGAGGTCAGGTTGGCGCACTGGACGCGCCTGGAAAGAGTCGCGCCTGGGAAAGGGGCGAGCCTGGACGCTCGAAACAGTCGCGCCCGGGAAAGGGGGGAGAGGGGGCGACCCCCTTGCACCGCGGCGCACTTCCTTGCCAGCGCTGCAGTCTAGTGTATGCCCGCCCCGGGAGGCCTCTCCGCTTCTCCGTGTCCTCTGCACACTGCAGTCCCGCTGGGCCTGCACTCGGGTGACAATGGCACGAGCGTCGCGCTCTCTGAGGCCTTTTTTCATAGGGATCCTTCCGACGCAGCGCCTTCAGCTGGCAAGTACCAGGGCAACGTCAAAAGCAGCCTCCCAGGATGGGGGGCGGCATGGGAAGAGGTGCGCCACTTCACGCGGGAGACTGATCCGGAAACAATCGCGCCTCAAATTGTCGGGAGTGGGCAGAATCCCCACCCTGACACGGCGATTAAGTAGTGAATTGTTCGTTTTTGATTCTCGAGGGGGCGCCGCGGCCATCATTTTCCAGGCTTGCGCCCGCCAGGTTTGGGCCCGAGGTCGTTTTCACTAAACCACGTTTTACTAAAGGGGGTTGTGTCCATCCCCGAAATTGCTCGACGCCCAGAGGGCCTGTGGGCTTCTGCTCTTCCAGCTGGAGGCGCGTGCGCGCAGCCAGCGGAGTGGCCGGCAGCCTTTTGGCTCAAGCTGCCGAGCGCAGGCGGGGACCTCTGGGGGCCCGATGCCATGAGGGAGGCCCCTCGGTGCGAGCGCGGAGGGGCCGAAGGTGCCCGCGACGTGCGCTGCCACGCGCACCACCCAGACGGCAAGCCGCCGTGGGAGCAGGCGCCGGCCTCGGGCGGAGACGCCGCGGCGGGCCAGTGGGGCGACCTCGCCCGCCGTGGGGCGGACGAGGGCAGCGCGGACGCCGCGGGGGGCGCCGACGAGGCGCGCAGCGAGGGCCGCGCCGGCGCCGACGAGGGCAGGGAGCAGCTGCTGAGCAGGGCCCTGCGGGAGGCGTCGGGCAACGGGAGGTGTGCACAGCAGCGGCCCCCAGCTGGGCCCACGCGCGCGCGAGTTCTCTCCCTCGACTTTTGATGCTCCGTCGCTGCGCGCGAGGCTGCGACGCCAAAATGTGCGCGCGTGTGTGTGCGTGTGTGTATGTGCGTGTGTGCGTGTGTGCATTTGGTCGTGTTCGGTTGTGTGTGAGAGAGAGAGAGAGAGACAGAGTGCGTGCGTGTGAGAGAGAGAGAGAGTGCGTACGTGTGCGTGCGTGTGCGTTCGCGTTGGTGCGTGCGTGCGTACGTGCGTGTGTGCGTTCGTGCGTACGTGTGCGTGCGTGTGTGTGCGTAGGTGTGTTTGAGTGGGTGAGTGTGTGTGTGTGTGTGTATGTGTGTGTGTGTGTCTGTGCGTGTGCTTGCTCTGAGCAGCTTACACGCTTGGCCGCTAGTCGCGCGCGCGCCTTCTCTTCCTCGACTTTGGAAGCCCCGTCGCTGCGCGCGTGGCTGCGGCGCCAGAACGCGTGTGTGAGAGAGAGGGTGCGTGCGCGTGTTAGTGAGTGCGTGCGTAAGGGCGTGTGTGCGTGCGCGCGTGCGTGCGTGCATGCGTGCGTGTATGTGCTTGTGTGTGTGTGTGCTTGCGCCGAGCGGCTTGAGGGCTTGGCCGCTAGTCGCGCGCGCGCTCTCTTCTCCGACTTTGGACGCCCCGTTGCTGCGCGCTTGGCCGCGACGCCAAAAAGTGTGTGTGTGTATATATACGTATACGCGTGTGTGTGTGTGTGTGTGGATGTGCGTGTGCGTGTGCGTGTGCGTGTGCGCGTGTGTGTGTGTGTGGTTGTGTGTGTGTGCGTGCGTGCGTGCGTGCGTGCGTGCTTGCGTGCGTGTGTGTAATATATATATATATATATTGATATATATATATATATATGTATATATACAGATGCGTGTGTGTGTGTGGAAGTGTGTGTGTGTGTGTGCGTGTGCGTGTGAGTGTTCGCGTGCGTGCGTGCGTTTGTGCGTGCGTGCGTCCGCGGGTGCGCATTCTTTTTTCCGGCTTGAGGGGCCCCGTCGCTGCGCACGAGGCCGCGACGCCAAAGAGTTTGCGTTTGTGTGTGTGTGTGGGTGTGTGCGTGTGTGTGTGGGTGTGTGTGTGTGCGTGTGTGCGTGTATGTGTGTGTGTGTGTGCGTATGCGTGTGTGTGTGTGAGTGTGTGTGTGTGTGTGCGTGTGCGTGTGTGTGCGCGCGCGCCCTCGTGGCGTGCACACCGCCCCCGATTCTCGGATGTGCCATGCCAGGGGCGGTACATGTGCACGGTGCGCTCGTGTCGCGCCGACCCGGCAGCGGTCCCGACGCGGGCGTTCCGGGTTGAACGCCGCCGGGGACCCAGAATCGGCCACTCTGGAGCGAGTTGGCGATCGAGAAGCCGCCGCTCGTGCAGGGTTGACCGATCCACGCGGGGGTCGAGAGAACCTGTGCTGGGGCCGCCGCGACACGAGCCCGCCGTAGAGACCGCGCCGCCCCCCCAAGAGGCGGAGACCCTCCAGGGGCGGGCCGCCGCGGCGGACGCGCAGCGGCGGCAGTGCCTGGAGGAGAGCAGGGGCCTCCAGGGCTCCATCCGCATCGTGGGGCGCGTGCGGCCCGTGCTGCCAGGCGAGGGGCAGGACGCCCAGTGCCTGCGGGTGCTCGGCAGGCGGCAGTTGGAGGCTCCCATGGGAGGCGGAAGGGGAAGGCCCTGTTATCCTCCAAGTCGGGCCTGCCCCTCTACAGGAGGGAGATTCAAACATTGTATTTTAAAGAAATAGTCTGGGGACGCTTTTTGTGGCCTAATTGTGGCAATGTGGGAGTATTTTTGGAGTATTTCTAATATTTCGTCCAAAATACCCCTTGTAGGGGGACATGCCCGACCTAAGGATTCCCAGGCGTTGCAGTTCTTTCTCCTTCGAGGGATTCTGCCTCGTTCCGGGCCGCCCTGGGGCCCTCACAGACCGATCCGGCTCGACAAGTGCTGCAGAACGACGGGGCCCAGGGCTCCGCGAGTTTTTGTTGCACGATGTCGAAATCTTGTCAAGGCGTCGGATCGCAGAGGGGGCACCGGTGCCGCTGCTCGTCCTGGAGGGCCCTCGCCGCCACGGCCAGATTCTCCCTTAAGAATCCGGCCAGAGTTCGCCCCAGGAGAGCACCCGCGGAGCAGGAGACATCGGACGGCACTAGGACGAGGAGAAATCCGTTCCAGAGCGCTCCAGAACGCTCTCAGAGCGTTCCGGGACGCTCCGAGGAGGCCAATGCGCCCAAGACATGTTCCAGAACCGCCGTATCTCAGATATCCCCGATTTATTCTCACCCGATGGTTCATCCTCTTCCTGGCTTCGTTTTACCCCACCCCCCGAGCGGCGGGAAGCAGTCGGTGCCTCTGTGCTGCCCCCACTGATCGGCCGATTTTCCACCGCCACTTCCATAAGGTAGGAGAGCAAGAAGGAGGAGAGGAAGAAGGATGAGGATGAGGATGAGGATGAGGATGAGGATGAGGATGGGGAGAAGGAGGAGGAGGAGGAGGAGGAGGAGGAGGAGGAGGAGAGGAGGAGGAGGAGGAGGAGGAGGAGGGGGGAGGGAGGGGGAGGATGAGGATGAGGATGAGGGAGGAGGAGGAGGAGGAGGAGGAGGAGGAGGAGGAGGAGGGGGAGGAGGAGGAGAGGAGGAGGAGGAGGAGGAGGGGAGGGAGGAGGAGGAGGACCTCCCCATCCTTCTACCCCGTCCCACCGATGGTGTGGTGGAAGATTGCCCCCCCCCCCCCCCCCCCTTCCTCCCTCTGCATGAGGTGCTCGCCGAGCCGCGACCCGCGCTCGCCGACCAGCCGCCCCTTGCGGCCCGCCGCCGCGCGCCGGAGGGCCCGCCCGGTGGCAGGATTCGGCCACACGCTCGGGGGCTGAAGGGACGGGAGAGTCAATGCTTGGGCGGCGGGCCCCCCCTTGGGTGGGGGGCGGTGCTCGGGCGTCGGACAAGGCACAGGCACCGACACCGCTACCCTTGTCCTCGGTCTTGCCTATGTGTGGGCCTCTCCTGGGAGGCCCTCCCCGCCAGCGCTGGGTTCGCCCCGAAAGCCTGGTCAGAGGGCACCCCGGGAGAGGTCCGGGGAGCAGCGGTGGGTATCGGTACCTGTTGGTTTCCCAAGGGACACGCTCGCTCGGATCTGCAGGGGGCCCCGGGGTCCATGCAAACGGGGGTCGGCCAGGGCGCCGGATCCTGCAGAGGGCGCCCTCGAGGGCGCGAAGCGATTCGCGCTTCGCGGTTCGGCTCCTCCTCCTCCTCTTCCTCCTCCTCCTCCTCCTCCTCCTCTTCTCCCCTGGTGGGCGGCGCGAGAGCGCGAAGCTATTCGCGCTTCGCGCAGCGTGAAGTTAGGCGCCCTTGGAGCCAGGGCTGCACTGACCCGGGCTAGCGTGCAGGATCCTGCAGGATCCTGCAAGGCCCCATAGACCCAGGTCTGCATCGACCCGGGGTAGCAGGTCCCCAACACGCAGGAATGGCCCTTCGCCAGACCCCGACATGCTCCCGCAACGTGGACAGGTCGCGGCGGGCGGTGTTCGGCCGTTCTCGGGGCACGACTCAGGAGGAGAAGCCGGTCCTCGGGAAGGGTTCGAGGCCTCTGTCGACTAGACGTGAGAGTGACCATTCGCCGGAGTGACCTTTGGTGCGGGCCCAATGGGGTCCCCCGATCGCCGAACGCGACGCGATAGAAGCGTCTCGCGCGGTTGTGTTTGGTCCCCCCGCGGTCCCCGAGAAGCCGCGCACCAAAGGTCACTCTCACCCAGGGTCACTCTTGCGTGTAGTCGACGCTGGTCAAGCAGTGGCAAAGCGTCCTGGCTCGCCTATCGGCCTACCAAACAATGTCCTAAGAACCTTCTTTGTGGTTTCCACGAAATGTTCTTAGAACATCTCTGGCGGATCTTGTCTTGTTTTATCACGTCGGGTCGATGTTCTAAGAACACTGTGTTCGTTCTTGGAACATTTTTGGGGTTCTGAGAGCATTTTGTGGTAGGACTGTAGGAATGACGGGACGGTCGGTCCCTGCTCAACAGGTGCACGTTCCTTCGCCCCCCCCCATTCATCACCCCCCCTTTCAGCAGCGCCCAGGTGGGGGGGGATGGAAGGGGGGGAGGGAAAGGGAGATGGAGAGGGAGAGGGGGAGAGACGAGGGAGGTCGCCGAAGGGGAGGGGGAGGCGGAGCAGAGGGCACGCGCGTGTAGTCGACTCTGGGGAGCTTCGCCGAGAAAGCAACACGACCTCGGCTGCTGGGGGGAGGGGCCTCTGGTGCGCGGCTGCTCTACCGGGGGGCCTTGGGGGCCGGCCATGCCCGAGCGCGCGGGCCGCTGCGGTCGCGCCGCGTGCGGCGGGGATCGGCAAGGGGCGCGCACCAGAGGCCGCCCTTGGCTTGTGATTTTTCAACCGACTTGAGCCTTGAGCACAAGAGGTAACTTCGAGCACCAGAAGAGTGCCGCAACTCGAGGGTTTTCACGTGTCGGGCCCTGGGAGACACTCGCCCGACACTGTTTCGAAACTCTTTCGACACCTTTCCGGGTGCTCGAAATTATTTCTGGGATGTGGTCCTGAAGTGCGATGGGAACAACAGAACCCTTGACCAGCGTCACCTCCTGGGTGCGGCCGGCAGGAGCGCGAACTGCACCCTGCTGTCCGACAGCTGCCACTCCGCGTCCGCGGCATGCCTCGAGGCACGCGCCTTCGCCTTCGACGACGTGTTCGGGGCCGACGTCGGGGACGAGGCTGCCGCCTCCGATGCACCCCCGCCTCGGCTCCCCTCTCCGACCCCCCCCCATGCGGCCCCTACTCTGGCCCTCAGGGTTGGGGGGGCCTCTCGGTGCTGCTTCGGGCAGGCCTCAGGTCGGGACAGATCGCTCCAGAGAGTTCCAGGACGCTCTCGGGGCGTTATGGGGACGCTCTGAGATGGCTGCGGCGCCCGATACTTCCTTCAGACCAGCCGGGTCTCAGAAATCCCCGAGTTGTCCCGACCCGATCGCGAGGGCATCACGGCCGGTGCCGCCGACTCTGAAGGGAGACGACGACGACAACGGCGGCGGCGGCGGCGACGACGACGACGCTGACGTGGGCCAGAGTCCTCGGGGATGCGTCCTGGATCTCTTCAGGAGACTCTCGGGGGTCTCTGGGGAGCGGGGTTTCAGAGACCCCCGAGTTGCCCTGATCCGGTTGCGAAGGCCTCACGGCCGGTGCCGCCGACTCTGAAGGGAGACGGCAACGACGACAACGGCGGCGGCGGCGTCGGCGACGACGTCGACGCTGACGTGAGCCAGAGTCCTCAGGGATGCTTCCTGGGATCTCTTCGGAAGGCTCTCGGGGGCCTCTGAGGAGCGGGGTCTCAGAGATCCCCGAGTTGTCCCGATCCGATGTTGTCCCGACCTTGCCTTCCTCTCACCGTTCCGGCTCCCGCGGCCCATCGTGGGCCCCTCGAGGGTGCTCCCCGCGAGGGCCCTGCCGCAGGACGTCTTCGCCGCCCTGCGCAACGAGCTGGCCGCCGCGGTCGAGGGCGAGGCGGTGTGCGTCCTGGCGTACGGCGCCACGGGCAGCGGGAAGACGCACACGGTGGGGAGCCTCGCGGAGCGCGCCGCCGAGGACTTGGAGAGGCTCGGGGATCATCTGCCCGATCCCCATCACGACAGGGCCACGGCGTCTCGGCCCCAGCAGTCCACCCCGCCATGTAGGGATAGGCTCCGCGAGACCCGAGCGGAGCAGCCTGCTACAGTCAACCCGCATCGTAAGGACGGGCAACCTTCCCAAGGGTACCCTTGCATCCTTGCCTCCTCGGTGCATCCTTGGCCACTCTCGTTGGTCGCGCCCCGCTCGAAAGCTTCGAAATGGGCTTCCAAGGGCCTTGCATCCTTATCCCGCATCCTCAGTATACGGGTTGACTGTATCCTTTGGGAGGGTGGGCCGGCCAGTGGGGCCAGGGCCGTGCCAGTGGAGGTGGGGATCCTGTGGAGCGATGGGTCAGAGGCAAGCGCTGGCCATGGCGGAGGGCGGCACGAGGCTCGAGGTCCAGGTGCAGATGGTCGAGATCTACAACGAGCAGCTGCGCGACCTGCTGTGCCCCGCGGGCGGCCGCGGCGGGGAGTCTCGCCGACTGAGGCTCTCGTGCACGGAGGGCTCGCCCGCGCTGGTGGGGGCCACCTGCCACTCGATCTGCGCCGACAGCCCTGGCGGCGTCGCCAGGGGCATCCAGAAGGCCTACCGCGTGGGCCAGGCTCTTCGTGCCACCGGCGCCACGGCGGTGCACGGCCGCTCTTCAAGGTCCCACCTGGTCATGGTGCTGTCGCTGGCGGTGTGGGCGCGGGACGCCGACGGACTGCCAAGGATGCGAAGCTGCGGCAGGCTCAGTCTCGTCGACCTGGCTGGCAGCGAGCGCCTCAAGAAGAGCGAAGCGGAGGGCCAACGGCTGACGGAGGCCCAGCACATCAACCGCTCGCTGAGCGCGCTGGCAGATGTGATCTCGGCAAAGGAGCGGCGCCTGTGCCACGTACCCTACCGCAACTCCATGCTGACACGCCTGCTGCAGGATGCGCTCGGCGGCCAGCCGCGCTTTCGCACGGTGGTGATCGTGGCGATGACCCCAGCGCGGGACGACCTCGGGGAGACGTTGCATTCGCTGCAGTTCAGCACGCGGCTGAGCGCCCTTTCCATCCCGACGGCAGCCGCCTCCCGGAAGTCGCTGCGCGGCCCGGACCTGGGGCCCAGGTCCTTGCCTTGCATCCCGGACGCGGACGAGGCACACGGTGAGCTAGAAGCCGAGCTCGCGCGCTGGAGGCGCGAGTGCGCCAGGGCCGAGGCCGAGTTGGAGGCCTGCAGGGGCCAACTGGAGGCGCGGGAGAGCGAGCTACGGGACGCAGAGCTTGAGAGGGCTCGCCTTCTGGCCAGCGCGGAGGACTTCGACAGGAGTCGCAGCTGGCTGACGCTCGGCCTCGCGGCGTTGGACAGCAAGCTGCAGGAGGTGGAGAAGGTGGCGATGAGGGAGCCCAGCGTGCCGCGCAGCAGCAGCTGCGGCAGCCAGTGCCCCTCCTGGGCCGCCGAGCAGCGGCCGCCGGCGCTGGGCGGCTGCAGCCCGTGCTGCTCCACCCAACCGAGCTCCCCGAGGCGGTCCTGCTCGGGCGGCGGCCCTGCCTTGGAGCCCGCGGCCTGCGCCGCGCCGGGCCCGGCCCTCGGGCAGCCGGCCCCCGGCGCGCTGGCCTCCGCGAGCGGCGTCCCGTCGCCTCGGGGCTCTGCCGGCGCCGCCTCGGGAGGCACACTCCCCGGCGACTGCGCGGCGGGCGGCGCGGGCACTGCGCGCGGCAGGAAGGACCCGCACGCGGAGCCGGCGGCCTGGCCGGCGCCCACGCCGTCCGCGTTCGAGGCCTCGCCCGGCGCGCGCCGCGCGGCGGAGGTGTTTGCGCTGACGCCTGGCGCCGCGGAGGGCCCCGGCCTCTCGCCAGTCGCCGCGAGCGGCAGCCAGGGCGGCTCTGCCACGGCCTCGCCGTGGGGGGCCTCCGCGCCCAGCGCGCGGTCGCTGTCACCGCCAGTGGCGGCGGCGCGGCGGGGCTGCACGTCTGCCGCCGCTCAGGCGGTCAGCTCGCGGAGACGGTATGTCGTGGAGGTCATCTCCGAAGCGCAGGCGCGCGCGCTGGCGACGACTGCGCCACTGGGCAGGCGCTCGGCGAGCTCCTGTGGAGGAGGCAGCGGATGCGAGGAGCCCGCGCAGGCCCAGGTGGACGCAGGCAGCGGCCGGGCGCTGCTGCTGGGCGAGATCGGCAGGGGGCCCGAGGACGACGCCGTTTCCGTGTCGAGCGACGAGGAGGAGATCCGCAACCGCCTTCGCCGCAGCCTCAACCTGGGCCCTGGCCCGCGCCCGCGCGGCGCCCCCGCCGCTGGCGGCGGAGCTGGCGCCGCCGCTGGCCGGGCGCCCGCCCGAGTCGTCGCCCGGCCCCCGCCGGCCAGCGCGGCTGGTCGCAGCGCCAGCGCCCGTGGCCACGGCGCGGTGGCCCAACAGGGAGCCGCGCCTCGCAGGGGCTGCGCACCCTCCCGCTCTCGGTCCCCTGGCGTCGGCCCGCAGTATTCCGCGGCCAGTGCCGCAGACCCGCGCGCCGCAGCGGCGTTCCCCGCTGCGCAGATGGCCCGGGGGGGCCCGCCCCCCCATCACTTGTACGCGCCGGTGCTGTCGTGCCGGCCAAGCGGCACCAGAACCTGGCGCCGAGGATAGTCAACGAGACGTCGCCGACCGCGCCCAGCACGAAGCCTGGCGCGCCCGCGGTGCAGTTCGCGCGGCCGCCTTAGGCTGCCGCGCCACGGCTGATGCCCATGAGAGGCGCTCCTGCTCGGGGCCCCTCTGTCCTCGCCCTCGCCTCGCCTCCCTCGCCTCCCAGCCTCCCTCCCTTCCTCTCATCCACCACCTTCCGCGCGGTTTCTCACTCTGCCGCGTCTGCCGCGCCCTAGACTCCAGCCGGCACGGACGGACGGCCACGCGTTGGCACCTCTGCGAGGCGGGATTGCGGAAAAGGAGCCCCAGCAGCCAGGGACCCAGTGGCCCCCCCGCCCTTTGCAACCGGCAGCGCTGCGCAGCGTCGGGCGCAGCTGTATGAGGGGTGTGCCACAGAAGGCGCTGCGACCGCAGGCGAACGCACCCGCTGGGGCCGTAGCTGGTATCCTCCTTCTCCACTTCCTCCTCCTTCTCCTCCTCGTCCCCTTCCATGGGAAGGGATGGAGGACGGAGGGACGAGAAGGGGAGGACAAGCTAGGTGCGCTCGCGCCAGACCTGACATCCTACCTCTCCCACCCATCCCTTCCCGCTGCGCCGATTGTTCTCTATCCGCGGACGCGTGTCATAGCGGACCTGGAACTTCCATTGAGACCCCACATCGGAAAAGGGGAGTTGCGTACATAGGAGGGGTGGGACGAGGAGGAGGAGGAGGACCAGTGTAAACCCAAGAGTCAACAACGATATTGGAATAAACCCTCCCTCGGTCCAAGCTTCCTCTTCATAGGTCCCTACAACTTTTGATTTCCGTTGATGGAACTGTAGCGTTGGAAGGCAACCGTTGGAATACCCTGGAGCATGCCAAACATCATTATCAGGACTCCAACGTCACGGATCAATCTGACTGTTGCGTCCAGACGATCCCGAATCGTGCCAGAACGCCATTCCTGGTTGCACCGCGAATCAACGTAACTGTTGCGCCCTCGTAATCCAGAACCTTTCCCAAGCACGATTCTTGGTACGCTGATCATGGGAATCCGTGGCGCTCATGCAACTGTTTAAAACGAATGTGCGCGGCGCTCAGGCGAGAGCCACATTTTGAAAACCACCCGCTCTCAATCCGTGATGCCCTTGCGACTGCTTAAAACGAATGTGCGCGGCCCCTAGGCAAGAGCCGCCTGTTGAAAACCACCCGCCCTCAATCCGTGAAGCTCTTGCAAATGTTACGAACATCTTGCGCGCCGCAATGTGCGCGGCGCCAAGGCGAGAGCCACATTTTGAACACCACCCGCCCTTCATCTTTGAATGCATTGCTAATGGTTTAGCTTCAGGGTCATAAATGGTGAAAAGGTATCAGTTTGGGTGCGACAGGGAAAAGTTAAACATAAGGAGGAGGAATGGTGGAGGAGGAGGAGGAGGATGAGGATGAGGAGGAAGAGGAGGAGGAGGAGGAGGAGGAGGAGGAGGAGGAGGAGGAGAGGTGGAGGAGGAGTCGGATGAGCATGGGGATAAGCAGGAGGAAAAGGAGGACAGGGACGGAGGACGACGAGGGCGAACAGCAGCAGCCGAAATTGGAGTGGATGGAGCGGGAGGAGCAAGAGGACCAGGGGAAGGCAGAACAGGGGAAAGCAGAGGGGGCGACAACAACGAGAAACGACTCGGATGCCAAGAGTGACCCGCTTTGGGGCGAGAACGCCATCCTGAACGACGGGAGCAACGCGCCGATCCCATTGTGAGGCCATCGCTGCAGCGGCAGCACCCTTCTAAGACAGTAAAAGCGTTCCGATTGAAAGAAAGGCAGACCAAACAATGGTATCTTGTGTGACCAAGAGGCGGATGGGGGCGGACTACTCCAGGTCGTCTCCTGGGGGGGGGGAGAGAGAGAAAGAGAGAGAGAGAGAGACACACACACACAAGAGTAGCATTCATGTTGAATAACGGTGGAGGAGGAGGAGGAGGAGGAGGAGGAGGAGGATCAGAAGGCGGAGGAGGGGGGGGAGCGGACCAGAACGATCCCAAGATGCATAAGCGATGCTAGAATCCACCATGCCGATCCAAGTCCCGTCCTCACGTGTCCAAGCAAGCCTTCCTGTCCACTACAGGAAGCGCCCCATTTGGTCCATTCGGTTCGGTTCTCCAGATTGGGCTTCTCGCCCACATGTTCGATGATTGGCGTCCAAGCCCACTGACCCTGTGAATCGCCGCCGCAATTTCCCCGACTTAGCGGGCATGGGGCCGTTTGCAAGTCTTTGTGGACACAGTTGCTGCTTTTCTGTTCCATGTATCGAATGGCTTTCGGCCCATTTTACCATTGTGCCTAGGTTGTGGGTATGACGCCTACTGAATGTCTGTTGGGGTATCGTGGGAGGCCTCTCGGGGGCCTCTTGGCGAAGTTGTGATGACTTGTAGGGGGCCTTCGGGGGCCTCTTGGGCCCTCTTTGGGGCCTCTTGGGCATCTTGTGGGCCTCTTGGAGCTTCCTGGGCGCCTCTGGGGGCCCCCTGGAGGCCTCTTGGGGCGGAAGGCTTGGATTTTCGCTTCGTGCTCCCTCTCTTGAGCCCCTTTTGGGGCCGTCTTGGGCCCTTCTTGTCTGGGGCCCTCTTGGGCCGTCTTGGGCGCCTCTTGGGCCGTCTTGGGGTCCCCTTGAACCGTCTTGGGGCCCTCTCGGGCCGTCTTGGGCGCCTCTAGGGCTGTCGTTGGGCCCTCTTGGGCCGTCTTGGGGCGCTCTTGAGAGCCTCTTGGGCCGTCTTGGGGCGGTCTTGGGGTCTCTTGGGCCGTCTGACAGCGTCGGGAAACAAAAAAGGCGAGACAGCCCCAACCATCCAAAAACCAAATGAAACTCAATGATGTTTGCCTCTTGGGACCCTCTTGTGAGGCCTCTTGGAAGCCTTTTGGGGCGTCTTGGAGGCCTCTTGGGTTGTGTGGAGCCATCTTGAGCGTCTTGGAGCGATCGTGTGGCGACTCGGGGCCCCCTTAGGGCCGTCTTCGGTACTTTTTGGGGCCCTCTTGGACTGTCTTGGGGCTCTCTTGGACCAGAACACGTCACGCGATAAGATGGGGGGGAGCCCAGGGGGGCACGCGAGAAGCCCCAGTAGATTTCGGAAATTTGGTCTGGGTCCCTAGTTGATTCCTCAGAGCTGACGAGCTGAGGCTCAGGGGATTGGGCAAAGGCCCTGAGGACACACCCACTCAGTGCCCAGTGGCTCGGTGGCTGATCATGTGATTGCCCGCGTGTGGCTTGCATTATTTCGTACACATCTCGGGCTTATCCCTTCTCGCGCACAAATAGTTTGACCATGTTTCCTCCGGCTCGTAAGTGGTCGGGGTCCTTGCGCCTCAGACCTCCTTAGTTACCCCTTCCTCCCTGGGGGGGCGTTTTTTGTCCAACGATATCCGTGAGGGATTCGCCCCCTGCCGCCGGTTTCTTCTTTCGAGAAATGTGGTATGCAAGAGCTATGTTGTGAGGTCTGGGCGCCGTCGTGAAGCAGCGTCGGATCTCCGAACGGGGGCCACTTGGGTTCGGGTTCCGCGTCTCGGATCACTCTTGGGGCCGTCTTGGGGGGATCTCGTGAGCCGTCTTGGGGCCCTCTTGAACCGTCTGGGGGCGCTCTTGAAAGTCTCTTGGGCCGTCTTGGGGCGGTCTTGGGGGGCCTCTTGGGCTGTCTTGGAGCGTCGGAAGCCCGAGAATGCAGGCGTGTCAAAATCAATCAAAAACCTAAGTGAGGAACGTGGCAGATATTGGCCTCTTGGGCCCCTCTTGGGAGTTCTCTTGGAGCGCTCTTGGTGGCCTCTTGGGGCGTCTTGGGCCGCCTTGGGACCATCTTGGGCGCCTTGGAGCAGTCTTGGGCCGTTTCGGAGGCTTTGGAGGTTTTTTTTCTCAAGGATTGTGGCCTTGAGAGAGCGAAAACTGTGTACTTTACGAGGGTGTAAGTATCGAGGAACACTTCAATATACGAAGGACCGTGGCTTCGGGAAGGAAGAGATTGAATAATCTGAGGAGGAGGAGGAGGAGGAAGAGGAGGAGGAGAAGGAGGAGGAGGAGGAGGGGGGGTAAAGAAGAGGAGGAGGAGGAGGAGGAGGAAGAGAAAGAAGTGGACTTCGTTCGCGTGCGATACACACGCCTCTGCCTAGCGTCTCCTGGCGATGGGGTCATGGCGTTGTCAAGATTGTATTGCCTCGGAGGCGCGAACACTGTGTAGTTTACAACGCTTCTGGCCTCGGGAGCGCGAGCATCGCGTTTTTGCGAGGGTCAAGGGCCTCTGGGCCGCGAGCCTTGTGTGCTTGGGGAGTGCGGCCTCGGGGGCGCGCATGTGGCGTAGTAACCCATGGGGGATTCCGGCTTCGGGGGCGCGGATCTCATGTATTCCTACGTGCCCCAGGACCCCCCCCGAAAATTTGAGAACCCCCCCCCCGATGGTGGTAACCAGGGCCCTTTTCGGCTCCCCACCCTCGCGAGGACTTCGACAATTCACAGTAGGAAGCAGAAGCAGGACTATAACAGTGGAGACTCGAAACTGGACCTAGCGCAGGGAGCAGCCAGCCTAACCCGTGGAGCCTGGTGGCCCCACAAGTGGAGCCAGCGGATTTTTTGTGTCGGGGCCCGTGAGCATGCCCCAGGAAAACGGGTCAACACATTAAACCTTGCCAGCGTTGAAAATCACAATGCGTCGTGTGTCTGGTCTCCCCAGGAAGTCGCCCCCCATATTCTCTTCTGTGGCGCTCCCCAGCCGATATTCTGGTTCTGGCCGTCGCGAAGGGTGCGCCCCAGGAAAACCTAAAACACCCTAACGTCCTGAAGTTTGCGTAATTGATTTTCGATGTTGATTAGTCATCTCTCCTCCCACTGTCGTTCCTCCTCCTCTTTCTCCTCCTCCTCGATCCTCCCACTCCGACGCTGTGCCTCCTTCTTTCCTCTTCCTCGATCCTCTATCCCCCTCCTCCTCCAGCCTTCTCGATCTTCTCTCCTTCAGCCGATCGATCCTCGATCCGTCGGTCTACGCTGGACCCTTCTCGACCCTCGACCCCCTCTGCCCTCCCCGACCCTCGACCCCCTCGACCCTCGACCCTCGACCCCTTCTCTCGACCCTCCACCCTCCCTCCTGCTCCTCGCTCCCCGTCCCTCGACCCCCTCCGCGCCCGTCGCTGCCACCCCCTCCCGCTCCTCCACCCTGCGGAGCTCCCCGCCCGGCGGCCGGCCGAGAGCCCCTGGCAGGTCCCTGGCGGAGCTCTTCGCCATCCTCGCCTGCGCCGAGGCGGAGGCCTCCTCCTCCTCCGCTCCCTCCTCCCTCCTCCCTACTCCTCATCCTCCTCTTCCTCCCTACTCCTCCTCCTCCTCCTCCTCCTCCTCCACCTCCTCCTCCTCCTCCTCCTCCTCCCTCCTCCTCCTCCTCCTCCTCCTCCTCCTCCTCCTCCTCCTCCTCCTTCTCCTCCTCCCTCTCCTCCTCCTCCTCCACCTCCTCCTCCTCCCTCCTCCTCCTCCTCCTCCTCCTCCTCCTCCTCCTCCTCCTCCTCCTCCTCCTTCCTCCCTCCCTCCTCCTCCTCCCTCCTCCCTCCTCCTCCTCCTCCTCCTCCTCCTCCTCTCCTCCTCCTCCTCCTCCTCCTCCTCCTCCTCCTCCTCCTCCTCCCCCCCCCCCCGCCCCCCCTGCCCCGAGGGAGGACCTCGGCCGCAGTGGCAAGGGCGTCAAGAGTCAAGTCGGGCACGTCCCTCTGCAGGGGGAGTCTTCAAAGGACGATTTTTCTTTATGTGTTTGTTCTTTTTCGTGTATTTTTGACTGTTCTCATTTTTCGTCCAAAACCCGCTTGTAGGGGGACACGCCCAACCTGAGTCAAGAGGCAGCGCCAGGGCTGGTCGGATTCGGGAGAGGGGAGGGGGTGATGCGCCCACGGATCGCCGAGAGGGCCCGAAAGCCCACGCCAGCCCAGGAACGTGCGGCTTCGCAATCGATCGAGAGCCTGCCGCCGATCTGCCTCAGGCGCAGGCGATCGCAAGCACGGATCAAGGGGGGCGTGGATTAGCGACGGGTCCCGCTTCCATGGGAAGTCGCGGATCTCCGCCTCCGAACGAGGCGGCACCGGCCGCATTTTGGGGAGGGTACCTCCCCCGATCCATGGAGTTGGCGACCGCGCGCCAAATCCTTGAATCGCTAATCTTAGGTCGGGCATGTCCCCCTACAGGCGGATTTTGGACGAAACTTTCAAAAGCCCCAAACATACAAACAAACAAAACAAGTTGTCACAAATTTTCGAAACATCGTCCCTAGACTATTTTTTGCTATTCTTGAACATTCCCCCTGTAGAGGGGCAGGCCCGACTTTAACGCTAATCCATGTTCGCGCGCCCCCGACTATCGGCGATATACAGCAGATCCGTCGTTGTTTCCCCCTAGGAGGGTTCCTCCTATATTCGCCCCCCTCTCAGGCTACAAGGCCCTTCGCCCGAGTGCCTTTTTTTCATGCCGGATCCATGGGATCTTCTTAGGCATGCTGGTCCAAAGGCCGCCAAGGTAACACCGCCGCGCATCACCGAGACTTCCACCGAGTGGCGCTAAGCGGTGCTGTGCGGGGTAGGGTATAGGTTTCCAGGTCGCTGTCCTCGGACACGCAGCCTGTGGTGCGCGGCTTTTGGTCGGGGCGGGGGGGGTTGGCCTGGCCCCAGCCCCGAGCACACAGGCCGCAGCTGCCTCGTCGCACGCGGTGGTCGACAGGCCGCGCCCCACAGGCCACTCCTTGTGCAGGGGGACGCTCTCGCGCGGCCAAGATGCTGGTGTCGGTTGTCATGCGATCCGGCGAGCGAAACATGTACCAGCGCCGTTTGATCCGACGCGCGGCCTTCCGTCCTGGGGAGGGCGCTGCGGCCACCAGGGCAAACGCCGCCTCGGGCGCGGTGGGTTCACCGTGGGGTTTGCCGCGATGCCGGCGTCGTGTACCTGCGGCGCGGGGCGCAGGGCTCGCCGTAGGTTTGCCGTCGTTTGGGCGTCGTCCATTTGGGCGCGTCGGGGACGCACGGCGAGGCGACATGTGCGCAGCGCCCACGCGGGAACGCCACTCCCAGGCGAAGTTTGGACGGGGCTTGGGAAGGGCCGACAAGTGGCTCGCCCGCGACCCCGCCGCCAACGACTTGGCGAGTGGCAAATGTGTGTCGCTCCGAGGCGGCAGCGACGCGAGAGCGACTGTTTCGCCCGCTCGCGGGTCGACGAGAATGACGGGCGAAGGGCGCGCGCCGCGACCAAAGCGGGAGCCCAATTCTCAGTTAACAAAAGCGCAGCGCCGAGGCGAGAGCAACATTTCGCCCTGTCGAGCGCGATGTGCCCCACGCCCCGTTCAGGCCACGCATCCTGCAACGTCGACATCGAAACGTCCATGTTGAGCGGGGAAGCGTCGACTTTGTATCTTCATGGGAAGAGTGGAGCACCCTTATGTCGCGGCAACATGCCATCCGACAGAGTCTACAAGAAAATCATGAGAAGCAGCAGGACGTCTGCATGTCTGAGGAGCAGGAAGAGGACACGCAGCAGCAGGATCAGGATGAAAAAGAGCAGCTGGCAAGAGCAAGTGGAGCAGGATTCTAAAGCTCACGGAAAATTAATGGCGCGGTATCCCTGCGCACCGAGCTCCGCAGCGGAGCGGTGGGGTGCCGGCCCCCGCAGCTGCGGCACCCGTGAGCGGGGTCGGCAGCAAACGCGAGCAGCAAGGTGGACATTCGCGGCCAGGGCTGTCAGTCGGGGCCTCCAGGGCTGTCAGTCAGTGGGGCTGCGTGCAGCCTGCGGGTCCTGTGTCAGATGAGGGAATCACGCGGATGTCGCCACCTTACTGCCTTTGCTTTTTGGGCCCTGGGGGCGGAGCCCTCGTCGCCTCGGCCGGACTCGCTACGGCGGGTCCTGGTCGGAAGGCGCTGTGGAGGAGGTCTAAGCTGTGGAAGTCGGTGAATGGAGGGGAAGCCTGCTGCCAAATGATGTCCAGATGTCTAAAAGATGTTTCAAACATGTTTCAAATATTTGTTCCCAACCATCCTGTGGTGTTGGGTCCTCGTTTTGAAGAGACGGTGCCCCGCGTTCCCGCCTCCTTCCTCCCTCCCTCCTCCCCCCTCCTCCCCCTCCCACACCCATTCTGGCACACCCCTCACACGTTTCGTGGCCCCATAGGGAGCTCCACCGAAGGCCCCAGTGGCTGCGCCCGCATGCGGTTCCACCCCCCATTCTGGCACACCCCTCACACGCTTCGTGGCCCCATAGGGAGCTCCACCGAAGGCCCCAGTGGCTGCGCCCGCATGCGGTTCCACCCCCCATTCAGGCACACCCCTCACACGCTTCGTGGCCCCATAGGGAGCTCCACCGAAGGCCCCAGTGGCTGCGCCCGCATGCGGTTCCACCCCCCATTCTGGCACACCCCTCACACGTTTCGTGGCCCCATAGGGAGCTCCACCGAAGGCCCCAGTGGCTGCGCCCGCATGCGGTTCCACCCCCCATTCTGGCACACCCCTCACACGTTTCGTGGCCCCATAGGGAGCTCCACCGAAGGCCCCAGTGGCTGCGCCCGCATGCGGTTCCACCCCCCATTCTGGCACACCCCTCACACGTTTCGTGGCCCCATAGGGAGCTCCACCGAAGGCCCCAGTGGCTGCGCCCGCATGCGGTTCCACCCCCCATTCTGGCACACCCCTCACACGTTTCGTGGCCCCATAGGGAGCTCCACCGAAGGCCCCAGTGGCTGCTCCGCATGTCGGCGCGCGCCCAATTTGGCACACCCCTCGCACGCTTCGTGGCCCCATAGGGAGCTCCACCGAAGGCCCCAATGCTGCGTTCGATGGCGGCGCCAACCCAATTTGGCACACCTCACACGCTTCGTGGCCCCATAAGGAGCTCCACCGAAGGCCCCAGTGGCTGCGTCCGCACGCGGTTCCCATCCCCATTCTGGCACACCCCTCACACGTTTCGTGGCCCCATAGGGAGCTCCACCGAAGGCCCCAGTGGCTGCGTCCGCATGCGGTTCCACCCCCCATTTCTGGCACACCCCTCACACGTTTCGTGGCCCCATAGGGAGCTCCACCGAAGCCCAGTGGCTGCGTCCGCATGCGGTTCCACTTCCACCACACGCTTCGTGGCCCCAGTGGCCTGCAGCGGTTCCACCCCCCATTCTGGCACACCCCTCACACGTTCGTGGCCCCATATGGAGCTCCACCGAAGGCCCCAGTGGCTGCGCCCGCATGCGGTTCCACCCCCATTCTGGCACACCCCTCACACGTTTCGTGGCCCCATAGGGAGCTCCACCGAAGGCCCCAGTGGCTGCGCCCGCATGCGGTTCCACCCCCCATTCTGGCACACCCCTCACACGTTTCGTGGCCCCATAGGGAGCTCCACCGAAGGCCCCAGTGGCTGCGCCCGCATGCGGTTCCACCCCCCATTCTGGCACACCCCTCACACGCTTCGTGGCCCCATAGGGAGCTCCACCGAAGGCCCCAGTGGCTGCGCCCGCATGCGGTTCCACCCCCCATTCTGGCACACCCCTCACACGTTTCGTGGCCCCATAGGGAGCTCCACCGAAGGCCCCAGTGGCTGCGCCCGCATGCGGTTCCACCCCCCATTCTGGCACACCCCTCACACGTTTCGTGGCCCCATAGGGAGCTCCACCGAAGGCCCCAGTGGCTGCGCCCGCATGCGGTTCCACCCCCCATTCTGGCACACCCCTCACACGTTTCGTGGCCCCATAGGGAGCTCCACCGAAGGCCCCAGTGGCTGCGCCCGCATGCGGTTCCACCCCCCATTCTGGCACACCCCTCACACGTTTCGTGGCCCCATAGGGAGCTCCACCGAAGGCCCCAGTGGCTGCGCCCGCATGCGGTTCCACCCCCAATTTTGGCACACCCCTCACACGTTTCGTGGCCCCATAGGGAGCTCCACCGAAGGCCCCAGTGGCTGCGATCCACCGAAGGCCCCAGTGGCTGCGTCCGCATGCGGTTCCACCCCCATTTCGGCACACCCCTCACACGTTTCGTGGCCCCATAGGGAGCTCCACCGAAGGCCCCAGTGGCTGCGCCGCATGCGGTTCCACCCCCCATTCTGGCACACCCCTCACGGTTCCACCCCATCTCCACCGAAGGCCCCAGTGGCTGCGCCCGCATGCGGTTCCACCCCCATTCTGGCACACCCCTCACACGTTTCGTGGCCCCATAGGGAGCTCCACCGAAGGCCCCAGTGGCTGCGCCCGCATGCGGTTCCACCCCCCATTCTGGCACACCCCTCACACGTTTCGTGGCCCCATAGGGAGCTCCACCGAAGGCCCCAGTGGCTGCGTCCGCATGCGGTTCCACCCCCCATTCTGGCACACCCCTCACACGTTTCGTGGCCCCATAGGGAGCTCCACCGAAGGCCCCAGTGGCTGCGCCCGCATGCGGTTCCACCCCCATTCTGGCACACCCCTCACACGTTTCGTGGCCCCATAGGGAGCTCCACCGAAGGCCCCAGTGGCTGCGCCCGCATGCGGTTCCACCCCCCATTCTGGCACACCCCTCACACGTTTCGTGGCCCCATAGGGAGCTCCACCGAAGGCCCCAGTGGCTGCGCCGCATGCGGTTCCACCCCCCATTCTGGCACACCCCTCACACGTTTCGTGGCCCCATAGGGAGCTCCACCGAAGGCCCCAGTGGCTGCGTTGCATGGCGGCGCCGCGCCCAATTTGGCACACCCCTCGCACGTTCGTGGCCCCATAGGGAGCTCCACCGAAGGCCTCAATGGCTGCGTTCGCATGGCGGCGCCGCACCCAATTTGGCACACCCCTCACACGCTTCGTGGCCCCATAGGGAGCCCCACCGAAGGCCCCAGTGGCTGCGTTCGCATGGCGGCGCCGCACCCAATTTGGCACACCCCTCACACGTTTCGTGGCCCCACAGGGAGCTCCACCGAAGGCACCAGTGGCTGCGTTCGCATGGCGGCGCCGCACCCAATTTGGCACACCCCTCACACGCTTCGTGGCCCCATAAGGAGCTCCACCGAAGGCCCCAGTGGCTGCGTCCGCATGCGGTTCCACCCCCCATTCTGGCACACCCCTCACACGTTTCGTGGCCCCATAGGGAGCTCCACCGAAGCTCCCAGTGGCTGCGTTGGCATCGCGGCGCCGCGCCGAAGAAGATGTTCGCTATTGCGGTACTCACAGCTGCATATGGTTGGGTCCTTCGCCAGGCTTTTATAAAGATAACACATGCTTGAAACATGTTTAGAACATTTTTCATGCATATAAAACACATCCTTAATTCAATGGTAGGACTGTTAGGGTGTCCATTGTCGTGGCATCCGCAAGTCTAAAGTCCAGGGCGAGCCTGCAGAGTGAAGGGTCTCTTGTCCATCGCGGCCCGCGTCCTCTTCATGACCGGAGCACAGGTTGTCTCTCCGAAGAGACTTTTGTGTCCTCTCGGGTGCCCTCCGCAATCAGTCCCGAATGTACCTGTCGGTTCCCCCACTTCAGACACTGAGTTGCATACAGCCTGTGGGCCGCACAAGTTTTTACTCGTTGAACGGCGTTCGGGCGGCAGCTCTGGCCTGGGAGGGCCGTTCGGGGCCAACCCTCCGGCGCACCTTGGCCATTGAGAGCTGCCGACGATGCGCGGCTTCTGGAAAAGAATCGGCCACAGGTCCTCCGAGGACCCAGTCCGGGATGAGGATTTGGAGATGACGAGCATGAGGTTGCAGAGGTGACCGTAGGATGAGGATCTGAGTGTGGATGCGGATGACGACACGTTGCTGGGGACAACATCGACGGTGTGGGTGCTGTGGAGGAAGGGCAGGAGCAGGGTAGCCACGGAGGATAAGGCGGAGGAGGAGGAGCATGAGCAGTAGGGGAATATGAGGAACAATGCGTAAAAGGATGAATCGACAGATGAGCAGGAGAAGCGGGAGGAGGATCGGGAGATGCGGAGGGGAAGGAAGATAAGAGGGCCACCTCCAGTGCCCGCGCAGCCCCGATGACAGGCCAACCTCGTGTTCCCCACCGAGGGCCTGGTCAAGCGGCTGCTCACGCAGTTCGCGAAGCCCAGCCCAGGGTGCGAGACACAGGACCTGGTGGCCACACCTCCTCGTCCTCCTCGTCTTCCTCCCCCCGTTGCTGCTCCTCCATCGCCGCCGCCTGCTCGTCCACTTCTCCCACTTGCTCCGAAGCCCTTCTGGCCAAGTTCTTGGTCTTGCCGCAGCCGTCTTCGGAGCGGAATTCGGTGTGGCGGATCTGTTGGCAAGATTGCAGTTCGAGGGATCTTAACCCTCACGCTTTCGGTATGCTCTTGCAGGCAGGAGCATGCGTGACAAGTCCGTGCACCTCGCATAGGGCAAGACTCAGATCTTCTCGCAGGCCGCCTGCTCTGCGTGCCGCATCGAGTGCCACTGCGGGCAGAAGGCACCGCAGCAGATCTTCGATGAGGCAAAGAAGAGGCCGACAGAGTCAAAGCAGCCGAGCCCGTCCAAGGCTCGGCCATCTGATAGTGCTTGGGCTCGCGGACCTCCGGGAGTGATGCTTCAGGTGCAGTCGTGCGGCAGCCCTGTCAGCTTCAGAAGGGGATGGATCATGTCGCCAAGCAGCTCGGTGGAGCCGCACGCTTCCCAGCAGCCAGTGCCTACAGGCTCGCGGGAGGTGGTTCTCGCCATTGGGGACGACGACGACGACGACGAGCTCGGCGCCGGTGCCTACAGGCTAAGATCAAGACTTTGGAACCGACCATCGGTTCGATTCGGAACGATGAGCGCTTCCCTGCAGCGGTCAAGGGAGCCATGGGAAGTGACCTCCAGGAGGCGAAGGAGGAGCTCGACAGGGCCAAGCCATCGTTTTGCAGACACGTCCTGCTCTTGGACACAAGCTGGCAGTCCAACGCCCGAAAAGTTTGAGAATCATTTCAAAGTCCAGCAGGGCCTCATGGAAACAGCCTCCAAGGAATTGGCGGCGAGACAGGAAGGGCTCGACTGGCCCGTGTGGAGGTTGGGGCCCCCAATATCGAGCTGCGCACTTCCATATCTCAGGAAGTGCCAGCCACGGAGCCCGCCTCCGTGCTTGACGCCGACGCGGGCAGGGACCAACCGTAGGTGCAGCAGCCCATGGCCACGCCAGCCTTCGGCAAATACCAGGAGCTGCTGCGCGCCCGGTGCCAGGCGCGAGCTGCTCAATCCTCCCAGGGCTCGGATTCCCAGGTAAAGCCAGAAGTCGGAGGAGGAGGTGGAGAGGAGGCGGTTGCCAAACCTGTCCCACTTGATGATGTCGTGCGCGATGATTTGGATAATGAGAACCTCGATGCCTCGATGAGTCTTCCAACGCGGCCAGATCGGATGGGCACCACAAAAGGGGTGTCTACGCACTCGTCAAGAAGCTGAGGGTCCAGACCAAGGAACAAAACTGTGTGTGTGTGTGACTTTACGTTTGGCAGGCTGGCCCCACGTTGTTGTGGACTACTTCTCGCCTGAACAGGTGTCCCCGTCCGTCCTCTGAACGGGGCCCATGCAGGTCAGATACTGAGCGGCAGCATCACATCGAGAGTTTCAGCGGCTCGTGGTGGACTACGCTCAAGAGACGCCTGCGAGAGCACAGCTGTTCTCCTTTGCGAGCGGGAGGTCGGTGCGAGCCCTGATTTCGTTGGAAAAGAGGTGACGCGCCTTGTTTGTGCCAAGCCACGTTAGCCCAGATACTGATCAGATGTCTTTGGGGGTTGCGGCTTCCGGTGGGGTGATTATTGGGATCCGCTGGCCCCTGAAGGTGATCAGCCAGCAGCACTCCATATATTATCAAGCTTGTGATGGGCTTCCCTGAGTGGCCTACGATAGGTTTACTTCAAGTCGGCTGAGGGGCTGGGCCCTACTAGTACGGCTTCGCTCGTTGAACTATGCGAGTCGGTTTCGGACCCAACCCATTCCGTCATCGCGGGCGATTGGAACATGTTGCCCGAGGTTCTTGATAGCTATGGGTTTGTACAACAGTCACGCATGCTTGCGATGGCGCCCACTGTGCCAGTGGGCAGGTCGCCCCCCTCGACTTATGAAATTGCTGGTTTCATTCCGGACCCTAGCGTTTCCCACCTGCTCGAAGCGGTCAGGTTGGGCGCGTCCTGGGATATAAAACTTCACCATCTTGTCTGCCTGGCCATTCGACCCGGTGCTCTGGCTTTCATGCATCTGGTCCACGGGTGTTGTCAGGAGCTGCCGCTGGAAGCCCCTTCCGGACCCTGGCAAGATGCACGATGTTGGGCTTGGGCAGGGCCCACCACGTGGCCGCGCGCGCGGCAGCTCCTGCTCCACATAGTCCCATCGGCGAGGACCGAGGCCTTTTGCGCGTCGAAGCTGCGGGAGATGACGCCGCCGGCGCGCACACGCTGCCGGCCGTGCTGGGCGCTGCCGCCGAGTGGGAGGCCTCCGAGGTCTTCGCTCCCCGTTTCAGAGCAGGCGCAGCCGCGGCGCCAGCCGTGACCCGTCACCGACGACGACGTCTAGCCCCGTCCTGGCGCCGCGCCGGCAGGGCTGAACCCGGGGGGGGGATTGGCGCCAGTGGGGGTGTTCACGAGCTCGGGGCCGTTGGTGCTGCGGGCTCTGCTGGCCCCACCAGGCGGTGAGCTCCCAATGATTGGCCTGTCTTCCACCACCACCACCATCAGTTGGAGGAGGAGGGAGTCCTCCTCCTCCTCCTCCTCCTCCACCACTTCTACGCGCCGCAACCAGCAAGATGCGATCAGGCGCGTCGAGAAGGGACTGGCGCCTCGTGCCAGGCGTACCCCAGCGGCGCAGCTCCCGCAGGGTGGCCCCTCTCGCAGCCACGCGGCGCGATGATCAACCATGTCGTGATTCGCTGCCGTTCCGTGGTCGGCTGGTGGCACGGCTTCTTCTTCGGCGGCGACGCCTGCTTCGTCGGCGGCAAGTTGGCCTATGTCGACGCGCCCTTGGCCCTCTTCCTCTGCGATTGGGTCTTCTTCCACACTTTCTTCAACCTTGCCCTCTCCGCCATCGCGGCGTGAGGGCGTCACGCTGTCGCTCATCGGTCGCCCCCGCGGCCGCTCGGGAGACACGCGTGAGGCGCTGCGCTCCTCTTCGTCCTCCTCCTCATCCTCCACCTCGTTCCCCCCTCCAACTTCTGGCAGTGGCGGCGGAAAAAAAGGCCCATCACCCAAGGGGGGCCAAGGTGGCGGCGGCAGCAGCGAGGGCGAGTCGGAAGCCAACCCGGCGGCGAGGCCCAAGACGAGTGCGGCGCCCAGCGGCGGTGGCCCTGGGCGGCGGCGGCCGCAGTGCTGGGGGCGGGAGCGCGCGCGGGCGATCGACAAGGAGGCTCTGATGGACCCATTTTCCACCACCACCACCACCACCATAAGTTGGAAGGGGGAGGGGGTCCTCCTCCTCCTCCTCCTCCTCCTCCTCCTCGCCCTCCTCGTCCTCCTCCTCCTCCCCCCCCATCCAACTCGGAGCGGTGGAAAACAGGCCCAGCAAAGGAGGCGCGCCTTCGAGGAGGTCGCGGTCGAGGTCGAGGGGCCTTCGCAGGCGCAGCTCCCTGGCGCAAGTCGCTGTAGGACGCGAGGGGTTCCACGAGTTGGGGGACCTGGGCCGCAACCTGAGGGTGGCGGACCCCTGCGGCTTCTGCAGCGGGCGCGGCGCTGTCGCGAAGATCGAGGCCTACGACAAGGCCAATTGCTTCAAACTGGTGTTATGTCGGGCATGTCTCTCCACAGATATTGAAAATTGAAGACAGTAGAAGAAATCATACGGGGACGATTTTCTACAGTTTCAGGCTTTTTTAACATGTTTTATTAGTTGTTATTTTCCTTCCCTGACCGACCTGACGATGGCGTTTTTCCCCGCACTGGCGTCGCCGCAGCAGGGGGAGAGAGAGGCAGCGCGCTGGCGCCTGGCCCGCCTCCTCGGCGGCCTCGGCCCGTAACCAGTCGGGCAAGGTGCTGGAGCTTTCCTCGGATTCGGATTCGTCCACCTTTCACCTCCGCGTTCGTATCCAAGGGAGGATAAACCACACAGACCCGACAATTGGCGTTTTTCAGACGGCATTGGGTGGTTACTGAACAGCCCTGCCCCGTTTGATTCCGTCTCCGGGCGCGTTTACTCAACGGTGTTGCGTGTCGGGGTGGATGTTATCGGGGTAGATGTTCTGCCCTCGATGCCTCTCACCCAGACATTTCCCTCACATCCGCCGGTCTACAGGCCAAATCAGCTTATGCACACTCGCCCGAGCTTCGCCGCGCACCCTTGGCACTTGCCTCGCCGATGCTTCGCCCATCTTCCGGCTCTTAAGCCTCGCAGTCACCGAGCGTTTACCCGGCTGGGCCAGCAACGGGGGGAGGAGGAGGAGGAGGAGGAGGAGGAGGAGGAGGAGGAGGAGGAGGAGGACGGGAGGACGAGGGACGAGGACGAGACGAGGACGAGGACGAGGACGAGGAGGAGGAGGAGGAGGAGGAGGAGGAGGAAAAGGAGGAGCAAGAAGAAGAAAAAGACGAGGAGGAGGAGGATGAGCAGGAGGAGGAGGAGGAGGAGCAAGCGGCGCCCCCGGCGCTCATCACCGGCGCGCCGCGGGCCCGCGGCGCCCGCCAGCTGCCGCGCCGCCCAGGGGCAGAGAGAGCCCGAAGCGGGAGCTGCGCGCCGCTCCGCTCGGGGGCGCGGCGCCGGGGACGCAACTGTGCGCGCCGGCGCCGCGCCCCCGAGCGGAGAGAGACCAAACAACAAGAAATTGTTCGAGAGAGAGAGAGGGAGGGACAGAAAGAGAGAGAGAGAGAAAGAGAAACAACTATAGTTATAACAAGTAAAAATAGTAGTACAAATCTTACTAATAATGCTAATGCAGCGACCGCGATACATACATACACACCACAAAACAAACAAACAACTGACAAGGAATCGCGCGCACGCAGTTCGCCCTCCTCATGAGGATTGCGCAGGGGGGAGGGGGGCGCGCTCGCGATGCCCGTGCCCCAGCCCCCCCCGCGCGCCCGCCTCGTCTGCGCCCGAGGGACACTGCCCTCCTCGCCTCTACCCGCTTGGCCCCCCTAAGGCAGGGAAGGAAGAGCTTCGCTGTGCTTGTGGATACTCAAGGCTTCGCTTGTGATACAAATTCGCGCGTCTCTGCACGATTGGTTATACGGCGCGCGCGCGCGTCGCGCCATCGTCGCATCGGCGGGGGTGTCGGGCTGCCGTTTCCACACGGGCGGCGGCGCGCGGCGCCAGGCAGCTTCCCCGCGCGATTGGACGGCGCTCGGGCGCGCGGGGCGGAGCCACATCGCGCACCGCGTCAGCGGCGGTCTCGGAGCGCGATGCGTGCCGCGCGCGCGCGGGGGCCTCGCTCCGCGAGGGGGGTGGGGTGGGGGGGCGGCGCTTCGCTGCGCGCGCGGGGTTCTCGTGCAGGGGTGGCGCAGCTGCGTGGCATCGGCGGGGGGTGCCTCGGAGTGGGATCTTCGCGCCGGGGCCCGGCCCCCCGCGAGGAGGTGGCGCCTCCACGACTGCGCGACGGGGGGCACGTGCTCACGGCGCGCGGCGGGCTCGCGCAGCCGCGTCGCTGCGGCGAGTGCCGCGGAGCGGGATTTCTGCGAGGGGGGCCCCTCTGCGCGACTCGGCGCTCGCTCGCGCGCGGGGGGGGGGGGTCGCAGCCGCCGCGCCGTCGTCTCCGCTCTGTTCGTGTACTCCTCGGGCGCCGTCGAGCAGGGCCTCGTGTGCCCGCCCTCTGCAAGCCTGCCCTCTCGTCTCCGCGGGCGCTTCTGGGGCGGCGGTCGCCCACGGCAACACAAAGAGAGGCTTCACCATAATGAACCCCTTCATCCTCGCACCCCTCTCTCCTCGCCCCCCCCCCTTCCCCTCTCGTCGCCCCCCTCTCGTCGCCCGCTCGCCTCCCCCCCCCGCCCCCCTTCCTCCCTCCCTGGAGGCCCGCCCCCTGCCCGCCTCCTCGGCAGCCCTGCCTGCCCAGGAGCGCGTCACCTGCCTGATCGACTTCATGCTGGAGAAGAAGGAGGGGCGCGGCACGCTGGCTCCCCGCCCCCCGTTTCGGGGGCGCGTGCAGTCCAAATCCCTTATCCAGCGCCCCCCCCCTCAGAAACCGGACCCCCTTCCAGGTGCGACCTGATGTTCCAGACCCCCCTCTTCGACGGGGCGCCTTGCTAAACAAGACCCCCTGAGCTCCAATCCAAAGAAGGCGCCCTAACAAGCTGGCCCCCCCCAGTTACAAAACAGGCGCAGGGGACGACTAATAAGGGATTTGGAGCAGGCTCAGCCCGCTATGCCACCAAGAGTACTTCTGGGCAGGCAGAGTCCCAGGGAGCCACGAAGGACACGCCAGAGGCCCAGGCCCAGCGCTCACGACGAAAGCATCGTCATCATCATCATCATCATCATCATCATCATCATCATCACCATCATCATCATCATCATCATCATCAGCATCATCATCATCATCATCATCATCATCATCATCATCATCATCGTCATCGTCATCGTCATCGTCATCATCATCATCAGCAGCAGCAGCAGCATCAGCATCAACATCATCGTCATCATCGTAACATCGTCATCATCATCGTCGTCATCATCATCAGCAGCATCATCATCATGAGTCATCATCACCATCACCTCCTTTGGAGCCGTCCGTGGACCTCCTCCCCGAAAGCCGCTGTGAGCCTGGTGCTGCCAGAGATGGCCCTGCCCTGGCCCAAAGTTGCCTCCCTCCCTGGACCCTCCCAGAGTGCTCAGACGCAGGCTTCCGCAATTCCTTCTGCAGAAGTTCATCTGAATTCTGGGCATCCGTCCCAACAGTGGCTCCGCTTGCGGCCCTGGTCTCGGCTTTGGTTGCCGCCCCGCTTCCGGATTCGGCCCCGGCCCCTTCCGCGGCCGCAGCTCAGGCCCCGGTTCTGGTTCCGGTCCTCCAGACGTTTAGATCTGATTCTCTGGATTGCCTACATCTTCGGCAGGGATTTGAAGCGTCAGCGTCTTGCTGCTTTGTCTGCCAGACCTGCTGGAAATTGCGGGTTCCCCTCCTCCTCGGGGAGCCCGGACTTGAGGCGACCCCGGCTTTTCCCAGAGCCCCCCCTCGCGAGGCCCAGGGGGGGAGGGGTGGGCGGGGCCCTTGGCGGCACGGGACGGCGCAAAACATATACCCAGAGATCCGATGTCGTACTGTTTTTAATGCGGGGTCCCCGGAAGTCTCGACCCAATTCCCTCGGGCCGGTTTTTCATCCCGAGTCGTTTCTTGACGGTCCTGGGGCCCGGCGAGGGCCCCTGGAGGCCCAAAACTGAGAAAAACCTCCGTCTTGATCTTTTCAATGCGTTCGATCTCTGCGTAGGGTGGGGGGCACCACAGGGCCTAAGGGTCACTTCTGGCATCCTCCCGGCGGAGAGGAGCGAGCAGGTCCCCGAAGGGAAGGTCCTGGAGAGGCCTCTCGCCGCCCCTCTCGGCCTATGGGGCCCTCCCGGGGCCCTGGTGGCCGTAATGAGCAGCGTCGCAGGCAGCAGAACGGCCCGGCAGAGAGCGAATTGTTTGGGAGGCCCTGGGAACCCAGACATCCGACGCCCCCAGAGATCGAACGCGTTGAAAAAATCAAGACGGAGGTTTGTCGCCCTTTTCGGCATCTAGGGGCCCTCGCCGGGCGGGCCCCGGGACTGGCAAAAACGACTCGGGATGAAAAGGCGGTCCCGGGGAAAAGTTCGAGACCTCCAGGGACCCCGTATTGAAAGAATCACGACGTTTGGATCTCTGGGTCGTGTCTTTCTTCCACGACGTGGCCCCCAGGAGGTGTGCATCCCTCCTTCCCGCGGGTATGCGTCCTTTCCTCCCGGGTTGTGTTTCGGCGGCCCCAGGGCCCCGTGCAGGCCCCCATGCATGCCGAACATTGCGGAAGTCCTCCCGTCGTGCCTTTTACGGTGAGGAGGAGGAGGAGGAGGAGGAGGAGGAGGAGGAGGAGGAAGAGGAGGAGGAGAAGGAGGAGGAGGAGGAGGAGGAGGCACGAGGATGTCAGGGGGGGTCCAGGGCTCCTTCCGAGCCCCCTTTTCCTTCCACGGCGGCGCCGGGATCCCGGGGGGCCGCCCGGCCGAAGATTTGGACGCGGGCTCGAGTTGAGTGCCCGGTGGCAGGGGCCAGTTGGGCCTCGGGCCCGACCCTGGCACGGGTTCGACGTCTGGACGCTTGTCCCAGACATAACCAATCGCCGATTCCCCAGAACGTATGGGAAAATTTGGGAAGTGGGGGGGGGGAGACAAAAACCCAGCAAATATGAGAAAAAATTGGGAATCCTGTTGTTTGTGTCGATTGATTTGTGTGTCACAGGGCCCCTTCAATCATACGGGCATCGTGTCCACCTCCCTGAGCATGGTAACTCGCCTGCTGCCCTGATCAGGGGTGGGAATGAGCATGCAGTGGAGGAAAGGGTGGCGAAGCCGTCGTCATATCCCAAGAGGGGGAGGATGGAGGAGGAACCGGAGGATGAGGATGAGGAAGAGCAACGGGGATCAGCCTGAGGAGGAGGAGGAGGAGGAGGTGGAGGAGGAGGAGGAGGAGGAGGAGGAGGGAGAAGGGACGAGGGAGGAGGAGGAGGAGGAGGAGGAATAGCTAATTAGGCGGATGAGGAAGAGGAGGAGAAGGAGGGCGAGCAGAAAGTGCCAGAGGCCTCTTGGATGCTTCTCGGAGTCTCTTCGGATGTCTCTTGAGAGCTTCTTGTAGGCCTCTTGGGGCGTCTTGGGAGCCTCTTGAAGCGTCTTGGGTGTCTCGGTGGAGCATCTTGGAGCATCTTGGAGGCCTCTCGGGAGCCTCTTGGGGACCTGCTGGGGGCCTCCTGGGGCCTCCTGGGCGCCTCTTGGGGCCTTCTTGGGGCACCCTTGGGGACCTTGGGGGCCAGATTCGAGCCATCCTGGAGGAGTTCGATTGACGAAGGAGGGGTACCCAATTAGGCCTAAGTCGGGCACGTCCCTCTACGGGAGGAAGATCCAAAAATAGTCAAAAATAGTCTGGGGACGATTTTGCGAGCATTTTTTCGTTATGCTTGAGTATTTTTGGGTATTTTCAATGTTTCGCCCCAAATTAGCCTGTAGGGGGACATGCTGCCCGACCTAAAATTAGGCCCCACCCCCCAGGATGCCACAATTGGCACAGAGCCGCTGGAAGCTCCATGACGTGTGCCTTACCGTCGAGGCCTTTTCTGGACGCTCCAATGGGTCGCGGCCCACCCCCGTCCAGGTCCAGGGCAGGTGGTAGGCTGCAGGGGGAGGGGTCAAGGCACCGCCTGCCAACAAAAAGGCGCAAGCCGTCTCGCTCACTTTTACTTGCCCTCCTGGCACAAAAGCGCCACCCGAGCATCCCCGTCAAAAGCCATGCAAAGTGGTCGCGGGGCGCCTGCGCATGCTCCAGCTTCGGAGGCAAAGTATCCTTTGGTGTGTTTTGTGTCAGGCAGGGTTTGCCTGCGCGCAGCAAGCAATATGTGCCCCCCCCCCCCCCCCCCGCCGTCCCTGTTGAAAACAAGTGCCAAGCGGTCGCGGGGCGCCCGCGCATGCTCCATATTTGGCGGCAAAGTGTGTTTTGCCTGCGCGCGGCAGGCACACTGAGGGCAAGCCTGCCGTCCCGCCCGCGCATACTCCATATTTGGCGGCAACGTGTATATATATATAAATATATATATATATATATAGATATTCTGCTTGTCCGTGCCAAAGACGAATGCAAAGCGGTCGCGGGGCGCTCGCGCATGCTCCACGTTCGGAGACAAAGTGTATTCAGCATTGCTGTGTGAAAGGGGTGGTTGGCTTTCGCGCAGAAAAGGCGATAAGAGGCCCCCCCCGCCCTTGTCAAGAACCTATGCAAAGTCGTCGCGGGGCGCCCGCGCATGCTCCAGATTTGGAGGCAACGTGCATTTTGCTGTGCTTTGTGACAAGGATGGTTGGCCTGCGCGCAGCAATCAATGTGAAGGCATCCCCGCCGACCCTGTCAAACAACATATCCAGGATGGTCGCGGGGCGCTCGTGTACGCTTCAGATTCTCAAGCAAAGTGCATTCTGCGTTGTTTGTTAAAAAGGTATGGTTGCTTTGCGGGCAGCTGGCAATATGAGGCCCCTCCGTCGCCCCTGTCAAAAAAACAATGCAAATTGGTCAAGGGGCGCACGTGCATGCTCTTGATTTCGAGGCAAATGTGTGACGCTTCGCGAATCCCCACCAACCGGCCAATTATCTCGCTCTGTGCCCCAGCCGTGAAGCCCGCTCTCTGGACGTCTCCTTGGAGCCGCGTACCAAAAAAAGAATCCCCACCAACCTATCCAGAAACAATGCCCAGAGGAATTGTCTCGATCAGGGAAGTGGGCAGCACACAGAGGAAGCCATTATGAGACATCTTGGGATATCTTGAGCCATCTTGGAGGTCATTTTGGGCTCTCTCAGGCGCTCTTGGAGTCATCTGAATCAGTGCCACCCCAAGAGGCCAACATGTGGCTAAAACCATTGTAAAATCAATGATTTGGCATTCTCGCCGAGGCCTCTTGGAGCATCTTGGGTGCCTCTGGGGGGTCTCTTGGGGCCTCTCTCTTGGGGGTCTCTTGGGGGCCTCCTGGGGGCATCTTGGGGGCCTCTTGGGGCCATCGTTGGGCCATCTTGGGGCACCCTTGGGAGCCTTGGGGGCCATCTTTGGGCCATCTTGGGTGAGATCGATCACAGGCGGGGGGGGTACGGATTACAGTCGCCCCCCCAGGAGGCCAAAATGGGGCCAAAACCATAGTAAAATCAATGATTTTGGCTTCCTCGCCGAGGCCGTTTTGGACGCTCCGACGACTCGCGAGACCCCCCGTCCACGTCCATGGGGAGGGGGTGGGGGGAGGGGTCAAGACCCCCTCCCCGCCCGCAAGCCGTCTCGCTCACTCCCACCCGCCCTCCCAACACATACGTAGCAGCCGAGTCTGGCCCGAGCCTCAGCATATTCAGCCGTCGTCTTTGGATGGGCAGCTACTGGGGGCGAATCCGCCGCCGCCGCGTCCGCGTTCGCCGCCGCCGCCGCCGCCGCCGCCGCCGCCGCGCCGCCGCCGCCGCAGCCGCCGCCGCCGCCGCCGCCGCCGCCCCCCGTTGCCAAACCGCCGCCGCAGCCGCTGCCGCCACCGCCACCGCCACCGCCGCCGCCGCGGCGGCGGCCGCCGCCGCCGCCGCAGCCGCCGCCGCCGCCGCCGCCGTCCCCGCCGCCGCCGCCGCCGCCGCCGCAGCCGCCGCAGCCGCCGCCACCGCCGCCGCAGCCGCCGCAGCCGCCGCCGCCGCCAAGTGTACTGTATTGCTTTTTGACAGGGATGGTGGGGGAAGGCCGCATCGGGATGGCTGCGCATTGTTCGAATTTGGAGGCAGAGTATGTTTTGTTTTGTTTTTTACAAGGGATGGCGGGGTGGGGTCGTCATGGACCCTGGTTGGCCCCCAGTCGCCTGGGGGAGGGGGTGTTTATTAATAGGGAACAGTGATAAACCCTTCCCCGAAGGGGGACAAGGAGGGGTGGAAGAGGAAACTCCTTTAACCACCCACGCCCAGAGGGCTGGTGGGATTGTAGTTCGTATGGTTTGTTTGAATGGGATGGTGGGTAGGGGCGACGCATGGGTTCGGGTGGGGGAGGGGTGCTCTTAGGAGTGGAGAGAGGTGGAGCTCGTGTGGGGGAGGGGTGCTCTTAAGAGTGGAGGGAGGGGGAACTCGTGTGGGGGAGGGGTGCTTCTTAAGAATGACTGCCGCTGGCTGCCGCTCGTGTGGGGGAGGAGTGCTTCTTAAGAGTCAGTGATCAGTCCCTCCCCGAAGGGGGAGAGGGAAGATGGAAGGGGCAACGAAGATGGAAGGGGCAACGCTCTGAAACCATTCACGCAAGGTATGGTGGGATCCTATTCTGAGCCTGGCGACCCACGGGGGTGCTAGGGGCCTAGACCTGGCCCCTCCCCCGGCGCGCGCCAGCAGCGGAAGTCTGGCGGGCGCCAGGTCAAATAAAGGCACGTACCTCCCCAAGACAGGTCAACGCTGGCGTCCCGAGGGTTTCCGGGGGTACTGGTACACGCCGGTCGTTGAAAGTAGGCATTTGGGATTCCCAGATCCCAATCTGCTTCAGGCGCCTTCCTACTTCAATGATCGCGTGGTTTCCCCTCCTCCTGCCTCTTCAGGGCGACGGCGGACACCTCATCTACTTCCAACGCCTTCCTACTTCATGCTTCTACCCACTTCTCTCGGCCGACGGGTACCCCCCCCAAGACAGGTCAACGCTGGCGTCCTCAGGGCTTCTGGAGTACTGGTCATTGACGCTTGGCTTAGGTGCGCGGCTCGAGCTGTGCGGGGCAGCCTGTGGGGGCAGGCCACGCCTCTCGGGTGTGGAGGGGGATGGCCGCGGGCGGGGGATGACAGGGGGAGTTGCAGGTGAAGAGGGGAGGGGTGGGTCGCAGCGGGAGGGGAGGGGTCAGGGGGAGAAGACTGCCGGAGGCCTCGGTGGCTTCGATCGCTGACGACGGCCGTCTTCTTCCACGTTTTCAACCTTTCTGTGGCGTGGGCCCCTTGGGGTCCCGACCCCGTCCCCAGGGGCCGGCGTCTCATGGCGAGGTTTGGAACGGCATCGGAGGCCGAGAATCGCGAAAGACGTACGTTGGGCATCTTCGTGTCATGTCGACGCGGCTCGTCGTTCAAGGTTGAACGCCGCTGGCGGCATGAATCAGCCAAGATGGAATGACCTGGCAGTCGGAAGGCCGCCGATCCTTCAGGGTTGAACGATCCGCGTGGTGTCAGGAACCAAAGCCGAAGTCGGCACGACACGAACGGGCAGTGCCGTCACCATCCTCGTGTGACGCCCAAGGTTTGAGGCGACGACGAAGGGGCTGCATCCCTCTCTGCCCGTCGCCGCCGCCAGGGAGGTGGCGCCCCCCCCGCCCGTGGCGCGCCAGCAGGACGCCATCTGCTTCGCCGACGACCTCCTCAAGCCGCACCCCCCCGCCCGCCCGCGTTCCGAGGCGGGAATTTATCCAGATCCACCGCCTGGACGGTCAGTTTTCGGAGCCTCGGCAGGCGGTGGATATCGACATATTTGGGCCCCCGGGGGCCGAAATATATCCATATCCATCGCCCGCTGGGGCACCAGGGCGTCGGTTCCCAGGCGGTGGATATGGATAAATCCCCGCCCGCCCGCGTCAGCCAGCGGCGCGCGCTCAAGGCGCTCGGCTTAGGTCGGGCATGTCCCCCCGACAGGTGGACTTTGGACGAAAAATGCAGTCTCCCCGCGAATTTTCAAGAATAGCAGAATAATGCTCGAGCAATCGTCCCCGGACTATTTTCTAACTGCTTCTGAATATTCCTCCAGTAGAGGGACAGGCCCGACTGAACGCTCGGCCTTCCCTCGGCTGCGCCCCAGAGCGGGCCGTCGCCGCGGTGACCTTCAGCTGCGGGCCCACACCGGGGTCTCCCGATCGCTGCGTGCGGGGCGAAAGAAGGACGTACACGTACATGAATCCACGCTGGTTTCGAGAGTGCGCATTGCCCAGATGCTCATATCACGCGGCCAGTCTCACGGATCGAGGGGTCGTGTTCACGTACATAGTTGGGCTCGGGGGTGGACGGACCTCCTACCCTGACGCGCCGATGAGCGCATTGGCCGTGTTCGGTTCGCGCGAGGGCGTCGCGGCCGTCATTTTCTTGCGGGTCCAGGTCCGTCGGGTTCGGTCCTGGGCCGTTTTCACTAGAAAGGGTGGTTTGCCAAAGCGCGGCGTGTCCACCGCCGATGGGCGCGTACGTCCTCTGTGGTCTCCCCAGATGGCTGCGCGCGGGGCGAGGGGCCGTCGCCCGTACGCTACAGGCTCTGCCCCCCCCTCCCGTGTCGGTATCGCTCCACCGGCCCCCACCCCCAGCCCCAGCCCCAAATGTCAGGAGCGAAAGAAGGACGTACACGTACATGAATCCACGCTGGTTTCGAGAGTACGCATTGCGCAGATGTTCGTATAACGCGGCCAGTCTCGTGGATCGAGGGGCCGCGTTCATGTACATAGCTGGGCGCGTACGTCCTTTGCGGGCTCCCTAAAATGACCCCCCCAGTTGGGGCTACGCCCCTCGAAACCCGAAGGGAACGGTCTATGGGGCAAGTCGGCCAGTGGGGCCCAGGCCACGCCCCTGGGGATGGGGAGCGGCTGAACGATGGTCATCCCGCGCCCCCGAAAGCCGCCCCACCAAAGGTCGCTTTTGACTTTGCCCAGGGTCGCTTCTGCGTGCAACCGACCCCCTCGCCATGGCTTTGGCATCGCTCGGACGGGTGCGTGGTTTCCTCGGCGAGGACCATTGGGGAACAGTGTGGGTGATGTTCGAAAACTCAGCGCACGAGATCCAACAACAAAATACACGGGGAGATGGGCGTCCGGGCGATGGCAAGTGGAGGAGAGGGTTGCCCCTGGGGCTTTCTGCAGGGTCAGCTTCGCCCCAGGCCGTTCTTCGACGGCCCCGGGGCACGCAGAGAGGCCGCGCCGCTTCGCGGGTCCCAGCGACCAGGGGCTGGAGGTCCTGGCGTTGCTCCACGAGTCCGGTGGAGAGGAGGCCCGTTCCAGTTCCAGCTCTGCCGTGGATGCTGCTCCCCCTCTCGGAGAAGCCCTCAGGGTTAAAGTCGGGCCTGTCCCTCTACAGGAGGACTGCTCAAAAACAGTCAAAAACATAGTCTGGGGACGATTCGTCGATTCTGTTTCTACCATTTGGGTTTTTTTTTGGGGGGGGGGGCATAATTATTTGTTCGCCCAACTCTCGCCTGTAGGGGGACACGCCCGACCTGTCCTCTGGGGGTCCGCGCTGGGTGCCGACAGCGGCGGGCCCCCTGCCGTGGGCCCCTGTCCTCTGGGGGACGCGGACCCGGCGCGCGGGGAGGCGACGACGAGGGCGGGCTTAGGCGGGAGGAGGAGAAGAGAGGAGGAGGAGGAGGAGGAGGAGGAGGAGGAGGAGGAGGAGGAGGAGGAGGAGGAGGAGGAGGACGAGGACGAGGCGGAGGACGAGGAGGACGAGGACGAGGAGGAGGAGGAGGCGGGACGAAGGGAGAGGGAGGGGGAGATTGAGGATGAGGAGTGAGGGAGGCGTTTCCCTTCCGATCGGCACCCCGAGAGTGTCTTCCTTTGGACCCCTGGGCCCCTTGGCACCTCTGGTGTGGCGGGCCCCTGTCCTCCGGGGGGCCCGGCCTCCCTCCTGCTGGCCCCTGGCGCGGTGCGCCGTGCGGAGCCCCCCCGCCGGCGTGCCGAGGAGGCGGGCAGCGAGGAGCTCGCGGCGCCCACGGGGGGCAATCTCGAGTCGGGCCTGTCCCTCTACAGGAGGAGTATCCCAAAGTAGTCAAAAAAATAGCCTGGGGACTATTTCTTGAGCCTTTTTTGACCATTCTGGGGTCTGTTTCCGTATCTTTGTTTTTTTTCTGTCGGAAGGCCCCCTGTAGGAGGACAGGCCCGACTTAGGGGTAATTATTGGCGCGAGGGGGCGGGGCTTCCGAGAGGCCCGCCCGGCTTCTGAGAAGCCTCCTCGGGAGCTTGTGGGTCAGAGGAGGTCCAATCCCGCTCATAAGCTGGCCCAATCCCGTTCACGATCCGCGGCCTAATCCGGCGCAGCAGCCCGTCAGTGAGGCTCAATTCTCCTTAACATTCTTCCGACGACGACCTCCCAGTGGTTGCCTCCCACAAGGAGGGCCCCGTCTGCTGCGCAGCCCCGGCGCCCTCTCCGGAGGCCGTCCCCTGCTCGCGCAATCCCCCGTGGTGGGCGCCGCCCCGAGGGGCCCTGGCCTCCACGCTGCAGGCGCTGCCAGGAGGGGGCGCCACCCTGGCGTTAAGTCGGGCGTGCCATCTACAGGAGGAGTATGCAGATATAGTCAACAAAAAAGTGTGGGGACGATGTTTTGATCATTTGATGCATATGTTTGGGGATTGTTGGGGTATTTTTAGTTGTTCGCTCAAAATCTGCATTTAGGGGGACACGGCCGACCTAACCCTGGGGGGGGCGCCAGGGGAGCATGTCGGACGGGGCTAGGACGAGAGTAGATCAGGCGATCGCCTGGCTGGTTCCCTTCGTTCATCAGGCTTTCGGCGAGCAAGAAAAGCAAACAATTCAACAACAAGAAAAACAAGAAAAGCAAACAATACAAATATATGGCAGGGAGCATTGCGTATTAATGGTGGATATGTGATAATTATCACAAAATATTTGATTAGTTCCTAACTGTTGTTGGTTATTTCGGTCATAGTTATGAACTGATCTTGGTATTTAGTAGCGTTGTGAATTAATTGTTTTGAATACTGTTAATTCGGGTAGTCGTAGCAGTAGTAGAAAGAATCACATAGCGTGTAGTATATTCACACATATAGGTGTGCATTGTATACATGTATGAATACACACAGACATGCATACATACATGCATGCATGCATGCATGCATGCATACATCCTTACACACACACACACACACACACACACACACACACACACACACACACACACACACACACACACACACACATACATAACGAGCCCCCCTGGCCGCGCCCAAGGACCACGGCGGCCTATGGGAGGACCAGGGCCCCCAGCGCCTTCCTGACTGCCCCAAAACGGACCTAGACGGCTTCAAGACGGCCCCAGAACGCCCCCAAGTAAGTCCAAGAGACCCCCGAGACGCCCAAACATCGGTCCAAGACGCCCAAGATGATCCCAAGACAGCCCAAGCGGCTTCCAAGGCGCCCCAGGAGGCTTCCAAGAGGCTTCCCAAGAGGGCCCCAAGAGACAAAATACATAGATTTTTCAGTGGGTTTGGGAGTTGTTCTGGGTTCTCACCATTTCGGCTGCCCGACGCTCCAAGACGGCCCAAGAGGTCCCCACCATCGCCTCAAGACGGCTCAATGGGCCCCCGAGACGGCCCCAAGATGGCCCCAGAGAGCCCCAAGACGGCCCAAGAGGCCTCCAAGACGGCCCAGAAGGGCCCCAGGAGGCCCCAAGAAGGAGCCCAGAGGGGGTACCCGAACGGACATTTCAAGCTCTCCGCCCCAAGAGATCCCCAGGAGGCCACAAGATGCCCGAAGAGGCTCCCAAGAGGCCCTCACTAAGCCCCACAAAGCTCCCAAGAGCCCCTTGCCCAGACGCTCTGAGGCACTCCTGGCGATCCCGAAGCTTCCAGAGAGGAGAGGCGAAGACTGGCCTTCCTGACGCGCTCTGGGGCTGTCTTCGAGCTCAAGGTGCCCCCATCAAGGCCCAACAGGTCCCAGAAACGCCCGAGGATCGCTTCCCGGGGGGTCCCATAAGACCCTCCAAAAGTAATTGACCAGGGGACGCACCCAACCCGTTGTACACATGAGGCGACTATACCGAGGACCGCTCATTTCAAACTTACGCCTTGAAGGATTCGCAGTATCCTTGAACGCTTCGCCAAAGAACGTGGGGCCGCAGACAAACGTTCCCCATGACTCGTGCGACTCATATCGTCGGCAAGAACGCGACCACGATCTCAAAGGAGCGATGACGAGGGGGCCACGAACGTAGCGACAGTTTGGCAGTTCGCAGCCCCCAGGGACGGCGACGTCTCATTCTGATTTGCGTATGACACCACTCCGCTGGGCCTCCCAGGGGCCCCCGGACGTGGCAACAGTTTCGCTGTTCGCAGCCCCCAGTGACGGCGACGCCTTTTTTCTGATCTGCGGATCATGTCACTCCGCTGGGCCCGCCAGCAGCCCACGAAGGTGGCGACAGTTTTGCCACTCGCAGCCCCCAGGGCCGGCGAGGTCTCATTCTGATTCGCGTATCACGCCACCCCGCTGGATCCGCCAGCAACCACCGAAAGTGGCGACCGTCTCGCTGCTCGCAGCCCCCACGGACAGCGAGGTCTCATTATGATATGTCGCAGGAGCCAATGGAATCGGGAACAGTTTCGCAGCTCGCAGCTCGCAGCCCCCAATGGCGGCCAGGCCTCATTCTGATTCGCGTAAGAC